AGGAAAATGGAAACATATGAACAAGGAATAAATGCTCTTGTCACAAATACCGTGTCAGTGATTAGTCTGGAAGAACGTGGACAGCAATGGCATAGGAGAGGAACGAGGACACTTACATGGTCCATGTCCAAGATATACATGCTGTCGATGTAATGACTAATTAAGTTCATGTTATGTTGCAGTCTTTCACCCATTGTCAGCATACTTGATGTTGATGAGAAGATTTAAGTTCAGAAAATTCGGTTGGTTAACTGCTGTTGTATCTCTTCTGAGGGTGACACAGTATAGAAGACGCAGAAGAAATGTCCAGCAGCTCCTTCAGAAACGGTCTACAAAGATTCACTGCAGTGAGGGGCGAGGTCAAACAATTCAGATCTGACCACGGGACCAATTTCATACTACTGACTCATGGAACATAAACTCTGTGAATGTAGAGCAAGGCCGGATACAGGACTTCTTGTATGACACCAGTGTAACCTGGATCTTCAATACTCCACACTCATCACACATGGGCAGAGCCTGGGAGCGGATGATTGGTAGGGCCAGGAGGATCCTTGACGCAATGCTTCCGAACTCATTGCACCTGACTCATCAAGTATTGACAACCTGGATGGCGAGGTAGCGGCGATAATCAACACTCGTCCACTGACCTCCATCTTGACTGACCCAACCAAGTGAACAAACTATCCTCTCACCTGCTATACTTCGCACACAGAAGATGAAACACACTCCCAGCTTTGACACATCATTCAATGTCAAGGACATGTGCAAATCCCAGTGGAAGTGCGTGCAGATAACAGTAGAGGAATTTTGGAGGAGATGGCGTCCCGAGTACATACACTGTATGCAAGCCAGGCCAAAATGGAAAGTCTGGCAACCGAATGTCAGGTCAGGTAACATTGACCCATAAAAAGATGACTCAAGTGCAAGGAGTGAGTGACCGTTTGGGATCATAAATCCGTCTTTCCAGGCCAAGACGGTCTTGTGTGCAAAGTAGCAGTTCAGATGAGCAGGGACGGCAATCTTATAACTTACACCTGTGCACTTGTGGGATTTACAGCGAAGTGCTAATAGACTGTATGTAATGATGGACTGTTTTGCAATTTCAGGGACTCCTAATTTTCATTTCATGGGAGGTCAATAAAATGTCATGAACTCTCAATAACGTGACAACAATCTGTGTCATGCTGCGCAGGCGATTATACCCGCTGTTATGGTTTTTAAAAATTTATGGACGCTTCTATTCCACTGTGCTAGTGACAACAACTAGAGTTATCTTTTCTTGTTTTCTGTTTGCGCTCATGCATGCACAGCGTGAACTCATGTACCCCTCGAGAAGCACTTTTCGCATAGAATTCCTACCCCGCAATTGTACGTCGGTGGGTCTACGTTGGTAATAAAAGAAGAAAGAATACAACTCGTCATTGTTGAGCCGTCATAATCTAAAGATTAGTTTCTATGGACTGTAAAGTCAATGTCTGTTGAGTGTTGAGTATGATGCTTATGGACTGTGACCCAGTGATCTTATGGACTGTGAATCCCTTGTGGTCTTATGGACTGTGTAGCCCTGTTCTTATGGACTGTGAAGCCCGAGTACTCCTTAAGTAAGGTACCTGCCAGAGAATCATGACAACAGCCGAGGGATTCTGACTGTCAACAAGATGGCGGCGCCCATGATAGTGACAATGAATCATATGACAGCGATGATTTCGTTTATGTGGTCTCCTAATGCCTCGAAGTCAGCGCCGATGACACTGGCTGCCGAAGGAGGGGACGGAATGGAGTCGTAGATAGGAAAGACTTTTTGGCAATGAAAACCAAACTGGTGAGAAAATCAAAGCTGACCTTGCTAAGTCAGTTGATGAAGAGCTTTCCAAAGCAACAAACATAGAAAATGTTAAGCCCCTTATGGACAAGTATGGATGGTCATATAACACCAAGTACTTGCTTGCACCAAAGACAAAACCAGAGATTTGGCAAGAGCCGAAGTCTCATACAAAAACAAGAGACTGCAAATTCATACATACTCAAGGGTTACTGGCCACAGGCTCCTAGTTGACAGGGATTATAGCTAAAACGGCACCACGCCAAAACGGTACTAATCAAAACGGAATCAAATTGGCGAAAACGGAACCTTGACTTGGCGAAAACGGAACCATACAAATTTTAATAGCTCTAAATTAAATGTATAAATAAAACTTTACGTTAAGGTGTTTCGTCGATTGCTGGCCATCTTACCAAGGGAACCTGAAGTGAAGACTGTCATCTTAGATTTTGAGCTGGCTACATGGAAAGCTCTTGCGAAGGTCCTACCTGCCGTCAGTCTTCGTGGATGCCTTTTCCACCTCACGCAAGCAGTCTGGAGAAAGTGCCAGGAATTTGGTCTGCAGGTAAGTTGTGTTTTTATTTATACTTATCACAGTTATATTTTTATTTATTATGTATTTATATATATATTTCCCTAAATTGTTTTCCCTAATTTTCCCAAGCTTGCCTACCAGAAGGATGACGCCGTCCACAAGTTTGTCAGAAAACTCATGGCTTTTCCGTTTTTGCCTTCTGATCACATTCCTAGGATGTTTGCTAAGATTGCGGACAGGGTGGAGAGGCATGGACGACTGAATCAGCTGGTCAGCTATTTCAGGCGTCAGTGGATGGAGCATCCAGTTTTGGCGCCATCTACATGGAGTGCATACCGCGTGACCATCCGCACCAACAACCACGTCGAAGGTATATTATTATTATTATTAGTAGTAGTATTATATTTTAGTATTATATATTAGATAAGATAAGATTTTGTAATAAAAACATGAATTGTATAGTTTTATTTATACAGTATCTCATATTATTTCAGGATGGCACCGACGGATGAACGGCAAGGTTGGGGAGCAAGTTCTGGGTATCTATAGACTGATACCTGAGCTACACTGAGAAGCTGACCGGTCTCCTGCACATCCAGACACGCCAGATCCAGGAGGGGAGACTCAGGTCTTACCTGAGGAAAGCAGCAACAGCATGTCAGGAGGAGATCCTTGCCGCCTGGAGGATGTATAAAAGAACAGACTTCACACTCAGCCAGCTGCTCTCCAGGTGTGCCATGATCCATGGACCAGTGATCCAATGAAAACATCTATGCAGACATGACCAGCCTAACGAACTAGTGAACTATGTTGACATAACCAGCCTAATGAACTAGTGAACTGTTCAGTGTTTTGTTATTGATGAAATAAAATGATCGTGTTAAATAAAAAATAAAAAACTAGTGTTTTGGTGTCCATATTTTTTTAATAATGTGGTTCCGTTTTCGCCAGAGTGGTTCCGTTTTTATTTTGATAATTGGACAAAAATAATATCTGACTCTTGGGTTCTGTCTTGTATGAAAGGTGCAGAGAGAACATTTTTGGATTATCCTTGTCAGACTCTGCATCCTAAACCTATCTGTTTCCAAGGTGGAGAGTGGGTTCAAGTGGATAACGAGGTATCTTCAACGTTACAACGGGGAGTAATTGAAATGTGCTCTCATGCGGTTGGGGAATTTATATTCAACATTTTCAGCAGGGAAAAGAAAGACAATTACCTTTGTATCATTCTTAATTTGAAAACACTGAATAATGCCCACCTCACCCAACCTGTGAGGCTTATTTCTGTAAAAAATCCTATTTCTGTGTTGAAAACTGCATGCATACATCTCACGTAATCCCTCAGTACTCCATAGATCAGTGGAACATATATAAAACTTCACCTTACAGGTAAGTCCCATTTAATCTTTTAATCTAATTTGACAATGTACATATACCACGTTAACACAGAAATATTTTCCAAAAGTGTAAGTAACACTGAAGTAATTGTCACCTATTGTGTTTCAGGATACGTCAGTGATTTCTGAAACCCCATACTGAGGAGAAGATGGTGAATATTCAGTAAGTTGGGTTTGCTTTTGTTATTTTTACTGAATACAATCTTTAGCTAGAGAAGTGAATCTAATTTAAACTCATTTTATGATTATTTATTTCTATTCAAGTATTGCATTTGACTTATTATACTTTGAGATAAGCTTTTTATCATTTATTTTGTACAGTTTGCACTTCACTGAATTAGATCAGTCCCGAGACAACTTCTAAATTGGAGCAGCCCCGACAGACAACCTCAAGGGTGAAAACAAGAGCAGTAGATTATTCAGTATGTTTGTTTCACTTCCGTTCTTTCTTATCGTTGAAGGAGTAAATTGAATTTTAGATCTTGTGATCATCATTTATGTCAAAGTTATTATTACTTATGACTTCAGAGACTTGACACTTAAATTTCCTTCCTTTGTGTTTTGTAGAGTTTGCACTTTAGACTGATTTGATGGCTACAATTTAAAAGATGTCTTCAACTGTGATGAAACAGGCCTGTTCTTTCGAGCATTACCAGACAAAACACTGTCGGAAAAAAATACAGCTGCTGAAGGTGGGAAAGAGTCAAAAGAAAGACTGACCGTGCTATTATGTTGCAGTGCAACAGGTGAGAAACTCAAGCCTCTTGTAATTGGTAAAGCTAAAGCTAAGACACCATGCTGTTTCAAGAATGTGAATATGGAGACACTCCCCGTGACTTGGCGAGCCAATCGAAACGCGTGGATGACCTCACACATATTCAGTGATTGGCTAGATCAAGTCAACAGACAGATGAGGAAAAGAAAGAGGCGTATCCTCTTGTTCATTGACAATGCTCCATCCCACCCTCAAGACAGTCCTCAGCAACGTTACAGTAAAATATCTTCTGCCCAACACAACGTCAGTTCTCCAACCTCTTGACCAGGGAATAATTCGAGCTTTCAAGCATCAAAATAGGAAATTTCTGATAAAATCCCTGATATCCCGGATCGACACATGCAGCAGTGTGATTGAACTTTCAAAGAACATTAATGTGTTAGACGCTGTACACTGGATCCACAAATCTTGGCAGGATACTACAAGTTTGACAATCATGAAGTGTTTTAGTGCATGCGGGTTTTCAACATGGATTCTGTAGAATCGGACAATGAAGAAGATGACATTCAACTGGCTGTGCTTGTTACAAACATGGCGAGTAGACATGTAAGGTGGAAGAGTTTGTGAATTGTGACTGTGACATTCCGACAGAGGACCCAGAAAGTATCGACTGGGAAGCAGAAATTTTGAAGAAACTGCGTGGTGGTAACGAGGACAAATAAGAGTGTGATGAAGAGTGTGGCAATGACAATGAAGAAAGTGATTCTCTGACTACCAACCTCACATATCCAAAGGTTCTAGAGATGCTGAGGGAAATAAAACATGTTGCCATGGTGCAAAACTCACCTGAACTGTTGAATCCTGTGGCTACATCCTTCTTATCTAATTTTTACTTTTTAAATTTTGCTTTTGCACATTAAATACTTCAGTTTGAATAATTTGGATGAAAATATTGCCACACCGAAGTTTTCTAAATTGATTGAACTGCAAAAGAAATATGGCTGTACTGCATTGAATTGGGACGTTTATATGCATTCTGATTTTATTTAAGAAATGGATCATGCATTAATTGAAAGTAATATTTTTTATCTTAAAGATTGAATCCAAGAAAGTGAAATTGTTGGACTTGTGACAAGACAGTGAATGTAACTGTTGAATTTTTTTTTTATAGTTCAGGGATAAATCTACCCGCGCATCCTGCATAATAATATACACATAAAAATTTGAAAGGAACTATTTTACATATGCGTCCTGGTAATGCATACATATTCACTAATCATGTTTATCAATGAATAAACACAATTTAACTACAATGCTTTAAAATTGTTTCAAGTCTTTTTAAACAACAAAATCCTCACATTGGTAAATGAAGTTCCCTGCTTGGTTCTAAAAATAGCTTCTGACATCTGATTGGCTTACAGTATTTCAATCAACCAATGGCAGCAACGGTAGCGATGCAAACACGATCTACCATATTGCTTCATATCATTGCTTCGTCATGCCTCTGCCAAAAACATTGAAGCTGACAAAAAAAACATTTCCTCTATGTTTAGCATGGGCAGTGGGGATTTTAGCCCAATAACTGATAACGAATCGCAAGATTCTGTCACCACAGTTGCAAGTTCCAATGAATCAGAGAAAATCAGCAAGAAACTTAACTCTCGTAAGTTTAATTCTACATGGAATACTTTGTACCACTCTTGATTAGTTTATGTGAAAGACAATGATTTCATGTATTGCAAGTTGTGCACTGAAAATGGCAAACAATATGGCATGACAAAAAATTCCCAATGCAGAAACTATCAAAATAGCACACTAACTAGACACTTGGAACTAAAAGATCACAAGATGTTAGTTGAGGCCCCAAAAGCTTGCACTGGCAAGGCTACGACATCATCGCGTTGTCAGAAAAACAACACAGGGCAGCTATTGCACTAATGAAATCTGTGCATTGGCTTTCAAGTGAAAACATTCCCCTGTCAAAATTCAAGTCTTCAATTCAAGTCAAACGATTTACTTGAATCAATGTCTAAGGTAGTAGAGGAGGATTTAAAAGAAAAATTTAAGAAAATCTCCATTCATCACTGCATTAGCAGACGAAAGCACCGACATCACAAATCACAAGCGTCTCATAATTTACTGTCAAATTATTTCACCTGACATGGAAGTTTCTACCCATTATGTGAGCAACATGGAGTGCACCGATACCACCGGAGCAGGAATTGCCAATATTATTTTGGAGAAATTCAAGACTCATGGAGCTGAACCTGGGAAAATAATGAGCCTAGGCTCAGACGGCGCTTCAGTCATGACCGGGAAACAGAAAGATAATTATTGAGGAAACATGATTAAATACTGAAAATACATACGAGTGAAGTGAGAAGCTCAGAAACAAAGAATCACTGGAATGAATTTACAAAGTACATTTTAATATCAAGAGTTAGTCAATTGTTTGTAGTTATAATTATTTCAGAATTTTGAGGCAGTATTATTGAAACATTTCAGATTCCCATCAGATGACATTTTGACATCCTTCGGCATACTGTCCATGAGTCCCATCAGCTTCTTGAGTGATGACAAAGTTGACCAGTTTGGCAGTAAAGAGCTTGATATCCTCTGTCGTCACTATGGTCAGGAGAAGGTGGTCTCTTGGAAGGAGGGTAATGACACTAAGGCCAAGTCTTCACCAGCCTTTGTCTGCTCAGAGCAAGCTCAGGAAGAGTGCAGTTTGCTAAAGAAGGTTGTGCTAGCACGGGATTCGATCCAGATCGAAACAGATTTCAAAACTCACTGAAAAAAAATGATACTCTACAAAAGTCTGTGGAGATGTCACTTTGTGCAGTGTCCGAACTACAGGAAATTATCGAGAGTGAGACAATATTACAAGACGATCAAAGACTCACTCAAGAAGTCAAATGGTTAGAAACAATGATTTCAGACGACAAGAAACTGGAGCTGTATGAGGGAAATAGATTGAGAGATTGGTTTCAACTTCGGCAATAAAGCTCATGAAACACAGAGTTAGACTAAGGCACACCAATGATGCAGTGTTTCCGTTTACCGCATAAGCCAGTATCTTACCGGTAAAAAAGTCCTGGACCAGCAATACAATGTGCATTCATTGATTCACTTAGCAGATGATGTTGAACACTTTGGAAAGTCTTTGAATGACATATCTGCTTTCCAATTTGAAAACTATCTGCATAAACTTAAAAAGAGTGTCAGAAAAGCTCAAAATCCCATATCTCAAGTGGCAAAAAGAATTGCAGAGATGGAGCGCTCCAAAAGTCGTCACTGGATCACTGGATAACCTGCATGCATGTAGCATGGTTAATGACGCTTGGACTACGGCAAGTCAGTGTTGCATCCAGGCCGCGCGACTGCGGGATTCCCCCCCCCAATAACGTACATCTCCCGAAAAAAATGAAAACCGATGCGCGAGCTGTCGCGCAATATAAATGGCCCCGTACCTATCATATTGTGTCAACTCACGCACCTGGGTAACATGTTTGGGTGTCGTGGACGTATTTACATATCGCAAATCAAAAGTGTCTTTGGTACATATATACAAGACTGCGAATCATGTTGATAAACTCTTCCGTTAGTTAAACCAAACCAGTTTCATTATTCTCTCTCTTTTCATGACAAATACCCAAAGCGGTTTCTTGACCCATATCTATTTTTGGTTTTGAATACATTAATGTACGGTATAAGCCGTAGGTTTACTTCAGCCAATCCGGTGCTGCATATTAAGCAGCTTCGGGCGACGTTAAATAATTTCTTTCGCTTGATGATTGGTCGAAAACACCACGACCTCGTGTCAAACTAAAACAACCTTGCACACCAAGGGTATTCTTCAGAACGGATAGCAGCGAACATTACACCAAAGTGCTGTCACATATAACCTTAGTTATCATTATGAATATTTTACATTGACAGAGCAAAAGCTGCAATGCACAATGCTAGAATATTATTCTCTTGATAAAATAACAGTTTCAGCTACTATAATTTTCCGATCACTGCATCAGAATTCATCTCGAAAATCACTGGTATCTAGAAAGTCTGACAGCCGTGCGATGATAAAATAACCTATCGTAATTGTGGATAGTTAGCATCAACAAGCTCACGTTTATGCTGTAAAGATATTCGCTGTCTGGAGTTAAAACGTAATTTATAAACCAGTACCGTGTCAACTATTACATCTGCTTTGCAATCTGAAACTTTTTCTTCCAGGTTACAAAAATGTATTGTTTCATCCAATGGCATCGCTTGTTAATCACTGTAAGCTAATACGGCCAATTTGATTGGCTGACACTCGAAGCTGTCATGATCAAGAATACTGTCTGGAATTTATGATAAGCAACTCGTGTTTATGTTGAAAAAGTTGGCAAACATGACTGACAGTAGGAAAACCAAAATACTTAGGGACTTCTTTAGTGTCTTAGAAAAACGAACAACGAAACGTCTTAAAATTGGCTCAGAAATTCAACGAAATAGCGCCAAGTCTGTTAGCGGTGATGATGCTGTTGGACCTAGTAGGAATGAAACCGATGGCGAACGTGTCACTGGTGATACGATTACTACAGAAGAGGCAAGTTTGCATGATACTAAACTTGAAAAGTGCACACAAATTGAAATTTCTGCAGTGAAGAAACACAAAATTGATGCAACATTTCAAGATTCGTGGAAGAATAAGTATACGTGGTTGGACACAGACAGCAAAGGTGGCATGATATGTACGTCATGCATGCTAAGTGGTAAAAAAAATCCATTTACAAGCAGAGAGGGATGTACAAATTTCAGAACCAGTACACTTACAAGGCACGCAGAATCTAAGCAACATTTAGAAGCAGTACAAGACAGTTTGTGTAGACAGAATTTTATTCAGGCTGAAAAACACGCCCACAGAAAAATAATTGCCAAAGAAAAGTCATTAGTGATCACAATGAGGAACGGCTTATTACATTGCTACACAAAACATTGCAATAATCAAGCCTACCATACAAACTGCTTGAACAAATCATCAAAACTTAACTCATATACACCAAAACAGACCACATATCACCAAAATAGGAAAATAAACTTCCAAAATTGCAACAATATCCTCTAAAACTGAAACGAACGCCTCCGTAATTGCTAACTAATCGTTTGAAATGGAAACCAAACTCGTGTATCTGCTACAAGAGCGGCCGAGAGCGGTCGCTGAGCCTTCAAAACGGCAGTCATAGCATCCCTAAGCGGCATGCAAATCGTCAGTCATCGGCATTCTTAAGCGCCTCGCAGCCTCACTTTCAGTCAAGAAACATGGCGGGCGCTGGAAGAAGAAAAGCCTTTGGTAAGTAATGTTTTTTCGTCACTATGAGTGTAATCTTGAAACACTTATATCGGGATGTAGCGCATAAACCCCTATTGTAGTAAGCTTCAGATCTATGTTCATATTTCTTCGTGTTAGGCTTGCAATTCCGCACAATGTGGTCCCTCGTTAGACCGAAGGCGTTTTTGTTGACATGTCGCGTGCTGATGTTTCTCTTCAGTTTTGTAAATAAAGACTCATGGCCTCAACGATTTCAAGCGTAAAGATATTTTAGTGATTTAAAAGTTGCTAAAACGTCTTCATTATCAGTGAATTGCGTATGTAAGTGATCATTTTCACTTTGACTTTCCAAATTGCATTTTTTATTTCTCAAACTTGTATTCACAGATTTCTGAGGAAGGCGTGTCAATCCTCTCGCCCATCTTATTTGGCCGGTCCAGTTGTCCGGCCCCTGAAACGCCTTCCAATTCTCAGGAAGCACTTATGCCTGAAACCCCTGAAACCCCATCTACTTCTCAGGTAAAAGAATTTTTTAGTCATGTATCCTTTTTAATGCAATATGATCTATTTAGTCTACAGGATTACAAAACTTTGGTCATTTTACTGTACATAATTGGTTAAAATTCAATGCTTTCAATTGGTTTATATCTTTTTTTTTTTTTTAAATTTCAATGACTTCTATTTCATTATAATAATATTCAATTGTTTTATTTTCAGAGAGATGCCTCTGCATCAAGTATGTTTGTCCCCGAGACGCCAGCTTCACAACTTCCAAATCTGGAAAACTGTGGTAAGCATTTTCATTTAAAGTCATTTCAGTGTCTAAATGTCCCAATGGATTACATCTTGTACTTATATTGCACAAGTATTCAGTAATGTTTATGTCAATTGACATGGTGAAAGCGGTGTGTGTGTGTGTGTGTGTGTGTGAGTGTGAGTTCATCTGTTTCATCAGACATAACTTTGGTAGTTTGTATGTTTGTATAACACCCCTTCACACCATATGTATCGTCAAGTTGTCAGACGAAGATCTTTAAGTTTCATCTTACTGTTATGAAGTCATTAAAGGAATTTTTTTCTTTCAGATATTTCTGTGATTCTGAACCTTCCAGAAATTCCAACGTTTGAATGTATGCCGTGTAAAAAGAAGTTTAAAAATCGGGCGACATTGCGATCTCATCAGATAAGGAAACATGAAATTGATTTTAATATCAGCTGTGAATTGTGTAACATGTCCTTCTTCAATACAGAGTTATTGAAGGAACATAGAGCCAAGTTACACAAACAGAAGGGTCTTTGTCGCTGCAAAACCTGTTTCAAAGTGTTGAGCAGCTGCAGAGGCATGCGACAGCACGTGAAATCTCATTCTGAGGAAGTGCACAAATGTACGGAACGTAATAAATTCTTCAATTCCAAGCAGGCTTTGAGGAGACACATGAAATCACATGATAAAGAATTTATTTGTGAACTGTGTGACAAACAGTTTGCAACCAAATTTCAGTTAAAGGTACATGGTTCTGTACATCAGGTGAACCCTGACATGTACCAGTGTGACCAGTGTCAGTACCAGAGCAGATGGTACTCCTGTGTGAAGAGACATGTTACAAAAAGTCGATGGTAGGTCACGACCATTTATTTGTGACAACTGTGGGCATTCCTTCAAAGACAAGTACAACTTGAAGAGGCACATCTCTAATGTCACTGACTGACTGAGTTTAGTTTTACGCCGCTTTTAGCAATATTCCAGCAATATCACAGCGGGGGACACCAGAAATGGGCTTAACACATTGTGCCCATGTGGGGAATCGAACCCGGGTCTTCGGCGTGACGAGCCAACGCTTTAACCACTAGGCTACCCCACCGCCCTCTCTAATGTCAAGTGCAATGTACCCAAAATGAACAAACAATGGGAGGACCTATAAGTAAAAACCAGCTGCAACTGTATCAATCTCAACTGTGATTCGTAGCATTCTTTGTGTTTTCATAATCCTGGTTTATTGGAATTACAGGAGGAAAATGGTGTTGATTTGAGTGACTTGAGAGTTGGTGAAAATGCTACATATATGGTCTCTTGGAAGGAGGGTAATGACACTAAGGCCAAGTCTTCACCAGCCTTTGTCTGCTCAGAGCAAGCTCAGGAAGAGTGCAGTTTGCTAAAGAAGGTTGTGCTAGCACGGGATTCGATCCAGATCGAAACAGATTTCAAAACTCACTGAAAAAAAATGATACTCTACAAAAGTCTGTGGAGATGTCACTTTGTGCAGTGTCCGAACTACAGGAAATTATCGAGAGTGAGACAATATTACAAGACGATCAAAGACTCACTCAAGAAGTCAAATGGTTAGAAACAATGATTTCAGACGACAAGAAACTGGAGCTGTATGAGGGAAATAGATTGAGAGATTGGTTTCAACTTCGGCAATAAAGCTCATGAAACACAGAGTTAGACTAAGGCACACCAATGATGCAGTGTTTCCGTTTACCGCATAAGCCAGTATCTTACCGGTAAAAAAGTCCTGGACCAGCAATACAATGTGCATTCATTGATTCACTTAGCAGATGATGTTGAACACTTTGGAAAGTCTTTGAATGACATATCTGCTTTCCAATTTGAAAACTATCTGCATTAACTTAAAAAGAGTGTCAGAAAAGCTCAAAATCCCATATCTCAAGTGGCAAAAAGAATTGCAGAGATGGAGCGCTCCAAAAGTCGTCACTGGATCACTGGATAACCTGCATGCATGTAGCATGGTTAATGACGCTTGGACTACGGCAAGTCAGTGTTGCATCCAGGCCGCTGACTCGCGGATTCCCCCAATAACGTACATCTCCCGCAAAAAATGAAAACCGATGCGCGAGCTGTCGCGCAATATAAATGGCCCCGTACCTATCATATTGTGTCAACTCACGCACCTGGGTAACATGTTTGGGTCTCGTGGACGTATTTACATATCGCAAATCAAAAGTGTCTTTGGTACATATATACAAGACTGCGAATCATGTTGATAAACTCTTCCGTTAGTTAAACCAAACCAGTTTCATTATTCTCTCTCTTTTCATGACAAATACCCAAAGCGGTTTCTTGACCCATATCTATTTTTGGTTTTGAATACATTAATGTACGGTATAAGCCGTAGGTTTACTTCAGCCAATCCGGTGCTGCATATTAAGCAGCTCGGCGACGTTCGTAATTTCTTTCGCTTGATGATTGGTCGAAAACACCACGACCTCGTGTCAAACTAAAAACAACCTTGCACACCAAGGGTATTCTTCAGAACGGATAGCAGCGCGAACATTACACCAAAGTGCTGTCACATATAACCTTAGTTATGATTATGAATATTTTACATTGACAGAGCAAAAGCTGCAATGCACAATGCTAGAATATTATTCTCTTGATAAAATAACAGTTTCAGCTACTATAATTTTCCGATCACTGCATCAGAATTCATCTCGAAAATCACTGGTATCTAGAAAGTCTGACAGCCGTGCGATGATAAAATAACCTATCGTAATTGTGGATAGTTAGCATCAACAAGCTCACGTTTATGCTGTAAAGATATTCGCTGTCTGGAGTTAAAACGTAATTTATAAACCAGTACCGTGTCAACTATTACATCTGCTTTGCAATCTGAAACTTTTTCTTCCAGGTTACAAAAATGTATTGTTTCATCCAATGGCATCGCTTGTTAATCACTGTAAGCTAATACGGCCAATTTGATTGGCTGACACTCGAAGCTGTCATGATCAAGAATACTGTCTGGAATTTATGATAAGCAACTCGTGTTTATGTTGAAAAAGTTGGCAAACATGACTGACAGTAGGAAAACCAAAATACTTAGGGACTTCTTTAGTGTCTTAGAAAAGCGAACAACTAAACGCCTCTTAAAATTGGCTCAGAAATTCAACGTAAATAGCCAAGTCTGTTAGCGGTGATGATGCTGTTGGACCTAGTAGGAATGAAACCGATGGCTTAACGTGTCACTGGTGATACGATTACTACAGAAGAGGCAAGTTTGCATGATACTAAACTTGAAAAGTGCACACAAATTGAAATTTCTGCAGTGAAGAAACACAAAATTGATGCAACATTTCAAGATTCGTGGAAGAATAAGTATACGATGGTTGGACACAGACAGCAAAGGTGGCATGATATGTACGCCATGCATGCTAAGTGGTAAAAAAATCCATTTACAAGCAGAGAGGGATGTACAAATTTCAGAACCAGTACACTTACAAGGCACGCAGAATCTAAGCAACATTTAGAAGCAGTACAAGACAGTTTGTGTAGACAGAATTTTATTCAGGCTGAAAAACACCCCCACAGAAAAATAATTGCCAAAGAAAAGTCATTAGTGATCACAATGAGGACGGCTTATTACATTGCTACACAAAACATTGCAATAATCAAGCCTACCATACAAACTGCGAACAAATCATCAAAACTTAACTCATATACACCAAAACAGACCACATATCACCAAAATAGGAAAATAAACTTCCAAAATTGCAACAATATCCTCTAAAACTGAAACGAACGCCTCCGTAATTGCTAACTAATCGTTTGAAATGGAAACCAAACTCGTGTATCTGCTACAAGAGCGGCCGAGAGCGGTCGCTGAGCCTTCGAAACGGCAGTCATAGCATCCCGAAACGGCATGCAAATCGTCAGTCATCGGCATTCTTCGCCTCGCAGCCTCACTTTCAGTCAAGAAACATGGCGGCGCGGGAAGAAGAAAAGCCTTTGGTAAGTAATGTTTTTCGTCACTATGAGTGTAATCTTGAAACACTTATATCGGGATGTAGCGCATAAACCCCCTATTGTAGTAAGCTTCAGATCTATGTTCATATTTCTTCGTGTTAGGCTTGCAATTCCAAGACAATGTGGTCCTCTCTCGACCGGGCGCTTTTTGTTGACATGTCGTGCTGATGTTTCTCTTCAGTTTTGTAAATAAAGACTCATGGCCTCACGATTTCAACGTAAAGATATTTTAGTGATTTAAAAAGTTGCTAAAACGTCTTCATTATCAGTGAATTGCGTATGTAAGTGATCATTTTCACTTTGACTTTCCAAATTGCATTTTTTTATTTCTCAAACTTGTATTCACAGATTTCTGAGGAAGACGTGTCAATCCTCTCGCCCATCTTATTTGACGGTCCAGTTGTCCGGGGCCCCTGAAACGCCTTCCAATTCTCAGGAAGCACTTATGCCTGAAACCCCTGAAACCCCATCTACTTCTCAGGTAAAAAGAATTTTTAGTCATGTATCCTTTTTTAATGCAATATGATCTATTTAGTCTACAGGATTACAAAAACTTTGGTCATTTTACTGTACATAATTGGTTAAAATTCAATGCTTTCAATTGGTTTATCTTTTTTTTTTTTAAATTTCAATGACTTCTATTTCATTATAATAATATTCAATTGTTTTATTTTCAGAGAGATGCCTCTGCATCAAGTATGTTTGTCCCCGAGACGCCAGCTTCACAACTTCCAAATCTGGAAAACTGTGGTAAGCATTTTCATTTAAAGTCATTTCAGTGTCTAAATGTCCCAATGGATTACATCTTGTACTTATATTGCACAAGTATTCAGTAATGTTTATGTCAATTGACATGGTGAAAGCGGTGTGTGTGTGTGTGTGTGTGTGTGTGAGTGTGAGTTCATCTGTTTCATCAGACATAACTTTGGTAGTTTGTATGTTTGTATAACACCCCTTCACACCATATGTATCGTCAAGTTGTCAGACGAAGATCTTTAAGTTTCATCTTACTGTTATGAAGTCATTAAAGGAATTTTTTTCTTTCAGATATTTCTGTGATTCTGAACCTTCCAGAAATTCCAACGTTTGAATGTATGCCGTGTAAAAAGAAGTTTAAAAATCGGGCGACATTGCGATCTCATCAGATAAGGAAACATGAAATTGATTTTAATATCAGCTGTGAATTGTGTAACATGTCCTTCTTCAATACAGAGTTATTGAAGGAACATAGAGCCAAGTTACACAAACAGAAGGGTCTTTGTCGCTGCAAAACCTGTTTCAAAGTGTTGAGCAGCTGCAGAGGCATCGCGACAGCACGCGTGAAATCTCATTCTGAGGAAGTGCACAAATGTACGGAACGTAATAAATTCTTCAATTCCAAGCAGGCTTTGAGGAGACACATGAAATCACATGATAAAGAATTTATTTGTGAACTGTGTGACAAACAGTTTGCAACCAAATTTCAGTTAAAGGTACATGGTTCTGTACATCAGGTGAACCCTGACATGTACCAGTGTGACCAGTGTCAGTACCAGAGCAGATGGTACTCCTGTGTGAAGAGACATGTTACAAAAGTCGATGGTAGGTCACGACCATTTATTTGTGACAACTGTGGGCATTCCTTCAAAGACAAGTACAACTTGAAGAGGCACATCTCTAATGTCACTGACTGACTGAGTTTAGTTTTACGCCGCTTTTAGCAATATTCCAGCAATATCACAGCGGGGGACACCAGAAATGGGCTTAACACATTGTGCCCATGTGGGGAATCGAACCCGGGTCTTCGGCGTGACGAGCCAACGCTTTAACCACTAGGCTACCCCACCGCCCTCTCTAATGTCAAGTGCAATGTACCCAAAATGAACAAACAATGGGAGGACCTATAAGTAAAAACCAGCTGCAACTGTATCAATCTCAACTGTGATTCGTAGCATTCTTTGTGTTTTCATAATCCTGGTTTATTGGAATTACAGGAGGAAAATGGTGTTGATTTGAGTGACTTGAGAGTTGGTGAAAATGCTACATATATGGTCTCTTGGAAGGAGGGTAATGACACTAAGGCCAAGTCTTCACCAGCCTTTGTCTGCTCAGAGCAAGCTCAGGAAGAGTGCAGTTTGCTAAAGAAGGTTGTGCTAGCGGGATTCGATTCGATCCAGATCGAAACAGATTTCAAAACTCACTGAAAAAAAATGATACTCTACAAAAGTCTGTGGAGATGTCACTTTGTGCAGTGTCCGAACTACAGGAAATTATCGAGAGTGAGACAATATTACAAGACGATCAAAGACTCACTCAAGAAGTCAAATGGTTAGAAACAATGATTTCAGACGACAAGAAACTGGAGCTGTATGAGGGAAATAGATTGAGAGATTGGTTTCAACTTCGGCAATAAAGCTCATGAAACACAGAGTTAGACTAAGGCACACCAATGATGCAGTGTTTCCGTTTACCGCATAAGCCAGTATCTTACCGGTAAAAAAGTCCTGGACCAGCAATACAATGTGCATTCATTGATTCACTTAGCAGATGATGTTGAACACTTTGGAAAGTCTTTGAATGACATATCTGCTTTCCAATTTGAAAACTATCTGCATTAACTTAAAAAGAGTGTCAGAAAAGCTCAAAATCCCATATCTCAAGTGGCAAAAAGAATTGCAGAGATGGAGCGCCCAAAAGTCGCCACTGGATCACTGGATAACCTGCATGCATGTAGCATGGTTAATGGCGCTTTGACTACGGCAGAGTCAGTGTTGCATCCAGGTCAGCGACTCGCACTGCGGGATTCCCCCAATAGCGCATACATCTCCCGAAAAATGAAAACCGATGCGCCGAGCTGTCGCTACAATATAAATGGCCCATTACCTATCATATTGTGTCAACTCCACGCACCTGGGTAACATGTTTGGGTCTCGTGGGCGATATTTACATATCGCAAATCAAAAGTGTCTTTGGTACATATATACAAGACTGCGCGAATCATGTTGATAAACTCTTCCGTTAGTTAAACCAAACCAGTTTCATTATTCTCTCTCTTTTCATGACAAATACCCAAAGCGGTTTCTTGACCCATATCTATTTTGGTTTTGAATACATTAATGTACGGTATAAGCCGTAGGTTTTACTTCAGCCAATCCGTGCTGCATATTAAGCAGCTCGGCGACGTTAAATAATTTCTTTCGCTTGATGATTGGTCGAAAACACCACGACTAATTGTCAAACTAAAAACAACCTTGCACACCAAGGGTATTCTTCAGAACGGATAGCAGCGAACATTACACCAAAGTGCTGTCACATATAACCTTAGTTATGATTATGAATATTTTACATTGACAGAGCAAAAGCTGCAATGCACAATGCTAGAATATTATTCTCTTGATAAAATAACAGTTTCAGCTACTATAATTTTCCGATCACTGCATCAGAATTCATCTCGAAAATCACTGGTATCTAGAAAGTCTGACAGCCGTGCGATGATAAAATAACCTATCGTAATTGTGGATAGTTAGCATCAACAAGCTCACGTTTATGCTGTAAAGATATTCGCTGTCTGGAGTTAAAACGTAATTTATAAACCAGTACCGTGTCAACTATTACATCTGCTTTGCAATCTGAAACTTTTTCTTCCAGGTTACAAAAATGTATTGTTTCATCCAATGGCATCGCTTGTTAATCACTGTAAGCTAATACGGCCAATTTGATTGGCTGACACTCGAAGCTGTCATGATCAAGAATACTGTCTGGAATTTATGATAAGCAACTCGTGTTTATGTTGAAAAAGTTGGCAAACATGACTGACAGTAGGAAAACCAAAATACTTAGGGACTTCTTTAGTGTCTTAGAAAAGCGAACAACTTAAGCGTCTTAAAATTGGCTCAGAAATTCAACGAAATAGCGCCAAGTCTGTTAGCGGTGATGATGCTGTTGGACCTAGTAGGAATGAAACCGATGGCATTAACGTGTCACTGGTGATCTGATTACTACAGAAGAGGCAAGTTTGCATGATACTAAACTTGAAAAGTGCACACAAATTGAAATTTCTGCAGTGAAGAAACACAAAATTGATGCAACATTTCAAGATTGGTGGAAGAATAAGTATACGTGGTTGGACACAGACAGCAAAGGTGGCATGATATATACGTCATGCATGCTAAGTGGTAAAAAATCCATTTACAAGCAGAGGGATGTACAAATTTCAGGAACCAGTACACTTACAAGGCCGCGCCAGAATCTAAGCAACATTTAGAAGCAGTACAAGACAGTTTGTGTAGACAGAATTTTATTCAGGCTGAAAAACACGCCCACAGAAAAATAATTGCCAAAGAAAAGTCATTAGTGATCACAATGAGGACGGCTTATTACATTGCTACACAAAACATTGCAATAATCAAGCCTACCATACAAACTTGAACAAATCATCAAAACTTAACTCATATACACCAAAACAGACCACATATCACCAAAATAGGGAAAATAAACTTCCAAAATTGCAACAATATCCTCTAAAACTGAAACGAACGCCTCCGTAATTGCTAACTAATCGTTTGAAATGGAAACCAAACTCGTGTATCTGCTACAAGAGCGGCCGAGAGCGGTCGCTGAGCCTTCGAAACGGCAGTCATAGCATCCCGAAACGGCATGCAAATCGTCAGTCATCGGCATTCTTAGCCGCGCAGCCTCACTTTCAGTCAAGAAACATGGGCGGGAAGAAGAAAAGCCTTTGGTAAGTAATGTTTTTCGTCACTATGAGTGTAATCTTGAAACACTTATATCGGGATGTAGCGCATAAACCCCCTATTGTAGTAAGCTTCAGATCTATGTTCATATTTCTTCGTGTTAGGCTTGCAATTCCGCACAATGTGGTCCCTCGTTCGACCGAAGGCGTCTTTTTGTTGACATGTCGTGCTGATGTTTCTCTTCAGTTTTGTAAATAAAGACTCATGGCCTCACGATTTCAACGTAAAGATATTTTAGTGATTTAAAAAGTTGCTAAAACGTCTTCATTATCAGTGAATTGCGTATGTAAGTGATCATTTTCACTTTGACTTTCCAAATTGCATTTTTTTATTTCTCAAACTTGTATTCACAGATTTCTGAGGAAGGCGTGTCAATCCTCTCGCCCATCTTATTTGGATCGGTCCAGTTGTCCGGCCCCTGAAACGCCTTCAATTCTCAGGAAGCACTTATGCCTGAAACCCTGAAACCCCATCTACTTCTCAGGTAAAAGAATTTTTAGTCATGTATCCTTTTTTAATGCAATATGATCTATTTAGTCTACAGGATTACAAAAACTTTGGTCATTTTACTGTACATAATTGGTTAAAATTCAATGCTTTCAATTGGTTTATCTTTTTTTTTTAAATTTCAATGACTTCTATTTCATTATAATAATATTCAATTGTTTTATTTTCAGAGAGATGCCTCTGCATCAAGTATGTTTGTCCCCGAGACGCCAGCTTCACAACTTCCAAATCTGGAAAACTGTGGTAAGCATTTTTCATTTAAAGTCATTTCAGTGTCTAAATGTCCCAATGGATTACATCTTGTACTTATATTGCACAAGTATTCAGTAATGTTTATGTCAATTGACATGGTGAAAGCTGTGTGTGTGTGTGTGTGTGTGTGTGTGAGTGTGAGTTCATCTGTTTCATCAGACATAACTTTGGTAGTTTGTATGTTTGTATAACACCCCTTCACACCATATGTATCGTCAAGTTGTCAGACGAAGATCTTTAAGTTTCATCTTACTGTTATGAAGTCATTAAAGGAATTTTTTTCTTTCAGATATTTCTGTGATTCTGAACCTTCCAGAAATTCCAACGTTTGAATGTATGCCGTGTAAAAAGAAGTTTAAAAATCGGGCGACATTGCGATCTCATCAGATAAGGAAACATGAAATTGATTTTAATATCAGCTGTGAATTGTGTAACATGTCCTTCTTCAATACAGAGTTATTGAAGGAACATAGAAACCAAGTTACACAAACAGAAGGGTCTTTGTCGCTGCAAAACCTGTTTCAAAGTGTTGAGCAGCTGCAGAGGCATGCGACAGCACGTGAAATCTCATTCTGAGGAAGTGCACAAATGTACGGAACGTAATAAATTCTTCAATTCCAAGCAGGCTTTGAGGAGACACATGAAATCACATGATAAAGAATTTATTTGTGAACTGTGTGACAAACAGTTTGCAACCAAATTTCAGTTAAAGGTACATGGTTCTGTACATCAGGTGAACCCTGACATGTACCAGTGTGACCAGTGTCAGTACCAGAGCAGATGGTACTCCTGTGTGAAGAGACATGTTACAAAAGTCGATGGTAGGTCACGACCATTTATTTGTGACAACTGTGGGCATTCCTTCAAAGACAAGTACAACTTGAAGAGCACATCTCTAATGTCACTGACTGACTGAGTTTAGTTTTTCGCATACGCTTTAGCAATATTCCAGCAATATCACAGCTGGGGACACCAGAAATGGGCTTAACACATTGTGCCCATGTGGGGAATCGAACCGGGTCTTCATGCGACGAGCCAGCGCTTTAACCACTAGGCTACCCGCCCCTCTCTAATGTCAAGTGCAATGTACCCAAAATGAACAAACAATGGGAGGACCTATAAGTAAAACCAGCTGCAACTGTATCAATCTCAACTGTGATTAAGTAGCATTCTTTGTGTTT